CCTTGTTATAAAAGTGACCCTAAAATCTAGACCAGCAGAAGCTTAGCCATCAGGTGGGACACCCAAGTTAGACAGGTGTTAGGGTAAATAGTTCACATTTTCATTTCTTTTCTTTCTTTAATGAGACCTGAGAAATATAAAAACACTCCAGATGAAGAGGAAGGAGACTCATGTGGGCCAGAGAGGTGACAGACTGCTGAGCTACTTCAAGACATGCTGAAACCACAAGATTAATGTACTCCTAAAAGTCTTACATTGTACGTGTGTGTGTGTGTGTGTGTGTGTGTGTGTCCGTAGGTGCACGAGTTCAGGCCTGCAGTAAAACTGAAGTTTCTCAAAAGCAGGAAAGTGGGTGACCATGGAGCTGTTAGTGACAATTGTTTTTTGATAAACTGCATCACTAAAAAATTTAAAGAAAGCAAATGAGATATAAATGTAGTGAACTGTTTGAGCTACAAGTTAGTGTGGAGAAAAAGGTACAAAAGTTAGAAATTAAGCCACATGTGCTGTAAAATGTTGTAATTACTTTTAAATTTTAAACAATCAATCATCCAGGTAAGGAAATCCCAGAAACTTCATTCTCTTGATCTGGCCATTGTATTTAAGAAAAAAAAACATTTCTAAAAGAAACCAAAGCACTGGCAAAACATTTCTCCCACTGAAAACCAACATCCAGATAAGGAAAATCAACTTTCTAGGATCAACCTCAAAATAGCTGTTATGTCTTTATGTAAAAGGTTTTCTACACTGCAGACCTGTAGTTATTCTACAGTCCTGACAGATGTCCTTTCTATTGTCAAAATGAACGTGCGAACTCCACTTAATGTTAAAAAGAAGATTACTACACAATATTCAGCAATCCCTTTTAACTCTTCTTCAGGGTTTGATGTGTGTTCCTCTCGGCATTAAAACAGAGAGAAGACCTGCTTATAAAAACTGTTAATAAGATTCAGAAAGGAAACCCCAATGAGTTCACTGGTGTTAATTTGCCAGCTTGATGCCGGATCCAGGGAAGACCTGTTTTCTATGGCCCTGAGCCACATACACCAAACCAAAATCGGGCCAGATATGGCATGCCATCGCATAAACCAATCCCAGTCCACGAGGGCTGGTGTCCCTGCATCTCATCCTGGGTCAACACACCTGAATCAAATGGTTAGCCCATTACCAGACCTGTGGAGAACTTCAAGACATGTTGAGAAGGTGATTTATCCATTTAAATCAGCTGTGATGGATCAAGGACACATCTAAAACCTGCAGGGACACCGGCCCTCGTGGACTGGGATTGGGGACCCCTAGCATAAACTGTGGCATCATTGGCAGACCTGGCCCATATCTGGTTGACATATACTCTGCCATGACACCTGTCACTCAGAAGGGCCAGCTTTATGCCAGATCCGGCCAGACCTGTTTTCTATGGGCCTGGGCCACATAAACCAAACCACAATTGAGCCAGACATGGCATGCCATCACATAGAGCTGGGGTGGGCAACTCCAGACCTCGAGAGCCGGTGTCCCTGCAGGTTTTAGATGTGTCCTTGAACCAACACAGCTGATTTAAATATCTAAATTAGCTCCTCAACATGTCCTGAAGTTCTCCAGAGGCCTGGTAACGAACTAATCATGTGATTCAGGTGTGCTGACCCAAGGTGAGATCTTGGGTCTGCTTTTATTGTTCTATGAGAAAAGACGGTTCAGCTCCAACCAGTGTCACCATTTGTCCAGCTCCAGCCTAAACTTGAGTAGTTCACAATCACCCCACATTCTAATTTTGCTCTATGGGGGTTAACTGACAGGAGGATAATGCACAAGGTTGCAGCCTACCCAGTGTTTAGAGACTTAAAAAAATCTGAATATAATTCAAGTGAACTAAAACAAAAATGTTCAAAAAGTCCCACAACACATTATCTGAGTCCTGGAAGACTGCAGGTGCAATTGTGATCCAAAAAGCCATCACAAGATCTTCAAAATGTCCTAAACGTGTTAAACACAGCTTTACATTCATCCTCCTCCCTGATATGGACCAAGTGTAAAATGTTTCAGAGGTCAAACACTGGAGAGGCTCCAGAGCAGATCTAACGAATGGCAAAGGATACTTACTCTTCAGGTTACAGTAGTCAGTGCATGGCCTAAATGTTTTTTTTTTCTTAGCCAAAACTAAAAACTCAGCACCTACCGGGGAAGAGGATGGTTTAGACAATAATGCGGAGCCACCCACCAGTATCTCCAAAACTCTGTAATCTTTTGGCTGCAAAGGGCAGGACGCTGTGTTTTTTTCTGTGTTTTAAATATGTTGCACTATTTTGCAGTGAAGGCAAACAGGAAATAAGTTAGCGGGCAGTATAGAAGTGTGATCACTGTTTGTTTCCTGATCTAAAGCAGTACTATAGAAGAACACCTAACAGCTCAAGCAGTTATTCCTGCTCACTGAAAACTGCAGAAATAAAGGTGAGTCTTGCTTGTTGTTCATCCTCAAGTTTTTTTGTACTTTTATTGATTTCATGCTTAACTAAAAATACGACTTAACCAGCTCCTGACACATGAGAAGAGAAACAATGTATAATCCTTCTGTACTGCTATCTCAATGCCAAAGTTGGCTTCTGACTGTGTTCCAAATGGAAAACCTGTAACACTATAACAAATTTGTCATTGACAAAGGCCCAAGTAATGCTAACTGACCTGAAAATCAACCTTACGCTCATTTGTAGCATTCATTATGAACACACCATTGAACTTAGTGTTGTATATTCAATAATTTAATTCTCTGCACATGGATATTTCTTCATAAATTGTCCACCAATCCCATGTCTTGATAAGGATTATATCCAGTTAAATGCTGGTATAGAAAACAGCTTATAATGTTCAGAGTAATGGGTCAGTCAAGAGTCAGTGTTGGATTGCATATGTAGGCTAAACATGAGAGATGACATCTAACAGTGGTTTCTGTACTTCAACTTTGTCTGCAACACTGTAGGGGAAAGCAACCTGAGACAACTGTACACTGAATAGAATTAAACTTTCAGTAAACTCCTCCAGAAAGTAGCATGTATAAAAAGAGCTTTATTGAATCTTAAAGGCAACATTTAAAACTGGACTTTGATTAACACTAAGAGACTATGAAGGCAGATGCTTTGAAAGATCTCTGAAGGCAGATTTATTTTTCAGCTTTGGGAAAAATGAGTGACTTAAAAAATATGACTTCAACTTTGAGCCAGACGTGTGATGTTGTCGCCACATCAGTCAACTCTTTCTTTATGCTGGTCTACAGTCTGGTGTTTCTGGTATGTTTCCAATCTTCAGATTATGTTCTGTCAGAAATGTTATTAAAGATCGCTGTGCATGCACTAAACTCCTGCCTTCTTCATCTCTGTCCTTTCAGGTGGGTTTACCCCTCAATGGCTTCATCATGAAATTTTACTTTCGTCGTCAGCAGCAGACATCGAGCAGCTTGATGGTCTACATGAAGAACCTGACAGCTGCTGACTTCCTGCTTTGCCTCTCTCTGCCACTGCGAATCACTTTCTATGCCAGCAAGTCTGCCATTGTTCAGCAGCTCTACTGTAGTTTTGGAGCTTCTGCCCTGCTCCTCAACATGTACGCCAGCATCCTGTTCATGGGACACATCGCTGTTAACAGGTAAGTACAATCCCTGTTTCCCTGATCCAAGCATAGACATCTCTTTGTAACTTTCCAAAAGTTAATTCTGTTCATCTGGACGTAGCGTTTTGTCTCTGGAGACGGAAGAAGTCACTTGGATGAGTCACAAACGTTTCTCCCACAAAACGCTACGTCCAGATGAACAGAATCAACTTTTGGAGATTTACTTACCTGGATGATTGCAGGCATTTTAACCATCTTTGTAACCCAGTAATGTCTTCTGCAGATTCTGTTCTGTGACTGATCAGTGAAATTGCATACAGCCTCTTTTCTCTCTTCAGGTATCTGAAGATTGTTCACCCTTCAGGAACTCACATTCTGCAGTCAGTGCGAGCTGCCCACATCATCTCCATGGTCACCTGGGTTTCTCTCCTGGCTCCAGCAGTTATTTACACCATCTTGTTTTTCATCACCCAGAAGCCTCTGAACTCTATCCCCAGCTGCTGTGATCCATTCATTAGTGCATCAATTAGCCTGTTCTTCACAATCATCCACACTTTATCCACCATCATCTTCCTCGTGGTCTTCATATCCATGGTCTTCTTCTACTACAGCACCTCCCGCAGGGTGTTGCAGGCACAGCAGAGGCAGCTGGCCTCCTCTGGCTCCGAGAAGCTCCTGAAGTCTCGCAGGAACATGTTGGTGCTGGTCAGCATCTTCTGTGTTTGTTTTGTCCCCTATCACCTGGTTCGACTTCCCTCAACTTTTTTGACAAGCAATCGCTCTGTTGTTTCAGTCTTGAACTATATAATGGAGGTGACCACGATGTTGGCAGTTTTCAATATCTGTCTGGACCCTGTTGTTTACTTTTTCCTCAGTAAGACTTTTCGGTCCCAGGTGAGGATGGTGTCCTGGAGAGGCAACATTCAACAAGTGAACGAGCAGGAAGGAGCAGCTGGACATTGCTACAGCAGTGAGTTAAGCCAGTAAGCTGTTGCTTTGATTCTGACAGCGTGTCATAGAGTCCTCATGAACCACAGGAGCTTCTGCTAAGCTAAAAGATCAATACAAGCCTGAACTTAATACAACACATGGACACCGTGAATGTCAGCAGTGTTTCATACAAAAAAATATGTGAAAACTGAATTTCTGTGTGTCTTAAAAGGCATTTGAGATATCAACCTTTCAGCATTGATTTGTGTTAAGATGTCTTAACTGCTAATGCTTATAAAGGAAAAAGATTTTCAACTGTTTTTCTACCCTACTGACTGATTTCACGTTTTTGGTCTGAAGTATAGGAAATGCATTTAATGAAGACGTGTGATGATGTGTACAAATGTGACTCTTGTGTTGACACTTCCCTTTTTGACTGGCGAAGCTGTGACAAGCTGTACGGCACTATTTTGCTAAAACAGGACCTTGGTGTAAAGTCTCATATAGATGTAATTCATAAGTCAAGTCCGTAAACTTAACAAAAAGCAACGATTCTCTTCTGATCCTGTTTGAATTACGGAGAATTCAGAGAAGAAAAGAAATTCACATTTGTACACGCA